TTCGTGCCCGGTTGTTGCATCGATGGGTTGGTCGATATGGGGCAATGGGAACGAATCCTTTGGACATGCTTTGTTCAAGTCTGTGAAATCCATGCTCATCCGTCATTTCCTATTTTTCTTTTAGACCATCACTACGTTGGCGATCCACTTGGGGTACTTTGACTCCCTGATGGAGCCGTTCTCTAACAGTTTTTCCACCTCCTCACGGACTGCATCGTTGATGGCAGAGTTGAATTTATGCCTGACCTGTCTTACTGGGGGTGGAATAGGTCGACGTTTAATTTGTGTGTGGCAAATTCCTTTGGGATGCCCGGCATATCTACATGGATGAAAGCAAACAAATCTTTCTTAGCTATTAAGAATTGACTGAATTTACCTGGTTCCCGGAGTTTGCAGCCAATATAGGCCTTCTTGCTATGGTCGTTGAGGTCCAATTGAACGGGGCAGAGGTCTTCTATGGTCGAACCTGAAACCTCGACCGTGTTGGGATCCATGATGACGTCTCCGGTCTCTTTTTGCTTCGACCTCGACCTTGTTGATTGCTATGCCTCTTTTTCTTTGTCTTTTTTTGGTGGGTGGCCGTGATGTCCAAGTCAGTGAGGTAGCATTTCCCGAGATGTGCGATGTTCCCCGCATATGCTGAATATTCCGCATGGTGTTGGGAATTTAATTACTTGGTATAGGCTGGGGGGGATCGCTTTCATGGGATGTATCCATGGTCGTCCCACTATAGCGTTGTACGCAGTGGCCTGGTCCATGATGTGGAATGTTGTCTCCAGAGTCACGCCGCCGGCTAAGACGGGGAGTGTAATTTACGTGGATGTCCGCTCAACTGCATTATTAAAATCGGTTAACGTGATGCAGCGCGACACTATCTTATCCTCGAGTCTCATTTGGGAAAGGACCCGAGGATGGATAATGTGTGCGCCACTTCCATCGTCCACCATGATGCATTTGACAACGGTATCTAAAATGCATAAAGTAATAACGAGGGCATCATTATGAGGAAAAGTCAAACCGTCGGCATCCGACTCGTCGAAGATGACTCTTTTTTCGAGTCTGTTGTACCGTTCGTGGGTAATAGACCGCTTGAGCTTGTGAGTGGCGGTGAACTTCACGCTATTGATAGAGGCGTCGCCGCCGATGATCATATTGATAGTACGAGTTGGCGATGGCGGCTTTGGTGGGCCTTGATGTTCAGATCCTCTGGCAAAGTTGGTTCTTCCATTATCGCTTAACATCTCTTTGAGGTGCCCTTGCCGTAACATGTTTACGACTTCTTGTCTGAAGGCAATGCAATCTTCTATTTTGTGCCAACGTTCCTGGTGAAACTCACAGAGGGCGCCAGATTTTATGGTGTTCGGGTCTGATCTCATCTTCGGCGGCCACTTCACCTTTGTTCTGAGTTTCTCAAGAGCGTAGACTATTTCTGTAGGTGACACACAAAATTTTTGAGCAGATAATAAGGGGGGCATACCTCTTTAATTGCGGCCAGTTCTCGTCCTTGGCCGGGATGGACCTTCTTCATGGGGGGTATGCGGCCGTCCTGACGTATGGTTGGTGTCGTTCCCTGTTGGGTCGCGAAACTGGGCGATCTCTTCTGGTGTTGTCTCTTCGTTCTTTTCTGGATTCGGCTTGTATCGAGGTTAACCGGTGAGTTGGTCCATTGAGGTCGTCCTCGTCTGCTCGGACCTCAGCACAGTAAGCATTATGGATTTCATCCCAAGTGGTTAGAGGATACTTCATCAATCGGCTCAACAGTTTTCTAGTTGCTCTTGAACCATCTCTACTCAGCTTGTTCTGGAAAGTTACGACCTCCATCCCTTCGGATACATTCGGTAGAGTCATACTTACTCTGTTGAACCGGGCGAGGAAGTCCCTCAGTCCCTCTCCCAAGGACTGCTTAATAGAGAATATGTTGTTTACTCTTGCGTCGGCCTTCTTGGCTCCGGCATGGGCAGTTACAAACTTATCGGTCATTTCCTCGAAAGTTTCTATGGAGCGGGCCAGTAGCTGTGAATACCATGTTAATGCCCCTCCCATAAAGGTTTCGCCAAACTTCTTCAGCAAAATGGAGGACATTTTTTCCTTGGCGAAGTCATTTCCTTTCACGACGATGACGTAATGGGTCACATGATCCTCAGGATCGGTCGTTCTGTCGTATATCCTAAGGTAGGGCGGTATTTTGAAGGTCTTTGGTATGGAATTCGGGATTGCATCATCGCTGTACGGCTTCTCTACGAACCTGTCGACGTCCCTTTTTGGCAGCAGCTTAGGAGCACCCGGTATCTTGTCAACTCGTTCTTGGTGTTCTTTCATCTGGTCTCGAAGTGCCTTGTTTTCATTCTCCATTTCTTCCATCCTCTTTACAATGGCAGCGAGGGCGCTGTCACCTGTACTGTTAGTAATATTGTGAGCTATACCTGTCGTTGGAGGGTTTGGTCCGTTGCACTGCTTATCTGTTTGTTGTATCATGCAAGCTCATACGGTTTCTGCAGTCATGCCTGGAGCGGGTTTGTTGAGGACGCTCGCTAGCGTGTCGGTCAGCCATGCTTCGAGGAGTTTTTTCACAGCTGGGGGCTTCCCTTCTTCTGCAGATGTGGAGGTCCCTTTTCCGCTGGGTTTTGTAATGCTGCAGTGGGGGGCGACCTCCCTCGCCTAGGGGACACGTTGGGCATCGTGTCCTCACATATTGTTTCACAGCTTTCATTGATGACATTCATGAGGTTGGTTGGGAAGTCACTTGTTATTATTATTATCCTTTCTCCTTGGTTACCTGCTATGTAGGGTTTTGTATGCACAAAGAAAGGAGATCTCGAGGTTTTTGACGTTAGTGACTTGTGTCAATTGTAGATCTAGAGGAACTAAAATTTTAACTAAGAAATCCCCACAGACGGCGCTAAATTATTTGACCAAAAAATATAGATCTTGGTTCAATTAATTAAATTTATACAAATGAGGGTTAATCTTAGCTAACAATAATATCTCAAAGTTGAGTGCTCAAAAGTACAATAAATACTACGTAGGTATATTTTGGTAGCAACGGCAACATACAATCAATACTCAAGAAATCAAAGGCAATAATGTAGCATTAAATATTGATGAATAGCAATAAATGTCATTTAAGTAAATAGAATGAATTAGTTACCCAAGAAAGGAAGAAATCAGTGAATGTTCTTTCTGACAATGATGAGTGATGGACAATTCTTTGAATATCTGAGTTATTCTCGGATCTAGTGAAAATGTGTGGACAAGATCTTAGTGAAAATGTGATGTTTGTGTGCTTGCAATGAAATCCTATTCTCTCTCTAAAGTCAAAGTGTATTTTAACAAAAGAATATCACATGTCCCCTATCATTGTGTTTCTATCTATTTATAGGGAACATGTTCCTAAAAACCTTAACAGTACAAGTGCAGAGAATATCCACTAGAATATTTTCTTTTGTGTCCTGTCTTAAAACTAGCCGTTATAACTCTGTCAAAGGTGCTCAACTTCGGCCTCGATGACAACTCCTCGACTTCAGTCTTGCTGATCTTCGACCGCGACCTTCGCTGATAATTAGATTACTTCGACGCGTGGCATCCCGGGAATGTTTTACTAATACCATTTCGACTAAAGATGGATTTTGACCCATACAGACTCGTTGCAACACGAGCAAATCCAAGATTTAAAGACAACGAGTGCATCTCTTTATACATACACAACTATATATACATATACTACTTTTAATTAATAAGATGAACATTTCGCAAGGGCATTCAATGTGCCGGAATTAAAATTATAATGCGTGAATAGGTCAAAGAGGAACTTTTTTGGTTGTATATAAACCGGAGAATCCTCTTGACATAAGGAAAGGCGAACTAGTTTAGAAAGAGAGTTTAAAATTTTGCTTTAGGGCACAAGTTTAAATTTAAAATATGAATCCCCTTATTCATATTCCTGGTTGTGCCACTGTTCTCATTGAAACATATCTCTAACGTGTAAAAGCACCATATTCATTATTTTCAAAATATATTATCTCAAGAGTATTATTAATTTTGAGCTTGGGGATGGAAGATTCGGAAGAAGCTAGTAACCCATTGACTAATTGTAAATCTTGAATCTGGCATACACATGAGTATATGTTAACTGATTGCTTATATGCTGAATTCGTTTCTATTTTGTATTTGTAGGGGAGCCTTGGCATAACTGGTAGAGTTGTTGCCATGTGAGCAAGAGGTCACGGGTTCGAGCCGTGAAAACAGCCTATTGCAGAAATGCAGGGTTATAAGGCTGCGTACGATAAACCCTTGTGGTCCGACCCTTCCCCGGACCCGACCCCGCGCATAACGGGACCTTAGTGCACCGGGCTGCCCTTTTTTTGTGTTGTGCAAAAAACATTTCTTCAACGATTAAGTATGCCCTATCTTGGTTATGAAAATACTATTCCAGAGTTAAATGGAGTTGCTTGCCTTTACACAGGCCATCGAATTTCACTATTTAATATATTTACTAGTGAGATTATGGAGCTTCCCTCTTCAAGTTTAGATCTTCCGCCAATTGCCGCTAAGATACTGACGTGGAGAAAAATGAACTGTTGGGAGAGTTCTTTAATTGATAGGATGCTGATAGAAAACATGGCCTGTCACGAACTCGATATAGCTAGTTAGCTACAGCAAGAAATCAGTACGATCCCTCGCATAAGGAGGCAATACACAACAAAAGAGAAGAACTAATTATAAAGGAAGTTCAGTTTCCTACTGCAACCAGTAGTCGGGAAGAACTGGCAATTGGTTTCTGCCAATTCATAAATATATAAAATAAATAAAATTACTTCAAAATGATTGTCAGGAGGTCCAAGTAATAGATCCTAAAAATTTAAAGTTGATGTCTACAGGTGCTTATTGAATGCACAACTTTATGCTTATTGTCTGTAGGCCAATTTTTCTTTTTCTTTCTTCAACTTATTCAATTTATACATATATAAACTGATAGGTTTGTACTTCTATAACTTTAAAAATATAACAAAATCTACTAAGAAATATTTCTATTTATAGAAGATAATAGACACAAATTGGAAAATTAGTCCTATGCTGGGCAATTATTAATGCTGAAACATGCCTTAAAACTTTAAATTTCTAGCTACAATCCCCCAATCACGTACAAAAGTATAACCGTTAAACATGTCACAAAGGTTTTCTTTTTCCATGAAACACTCACAGTCGAGTGCAGATGGAGTCTTAAGCCAGCTTAAATGTGCTGTTCTACCATTCCAGAGCAGCTATTTTTAAGCAAGGTCGTCAAAAAGTTGAGCCATTGAACCCAAAGTATTGGCGCTGCACACAAAGAAAAGGAATTCCGGTTCAGATATTTCCCTAACATAACTTTACATTGATGTAAACATGGTCACACATAAAAAAGTATGAAATGAAAAATGCAATATCTAAGCAGAAAATGCAGCAATAACTCAAGTTTGTGCCAGTTGAGCATAAACAATGCAACCAAAAAGTAGGTTATAAGCACAATGACTATTCATTATGTTAGGATGATTAGATTCCATTGAAATAGAGCCAATTCCAATAGGACAATAGGAACATCGGTGCATCCAAAACAGGACATTTTAACCAGTCAGTTCTGAGCAGGACTGCATAAATGGTGAACAACCAAATTCCAGCTGAAACAGTATCTTAGGAAACTAATGCTGTTTGGGAGTCATCAAAGGAAGGACATTACTTACAAAAAGTTTTATGCAACATCATCTAACAATAATGTGAAAGTTGTTTTCAAGATGGTTAACTTTCAGTAGTTCTTCTCCACAGATTTCATCTAAGGAACAAACTTTACAGCTACTTCAACTTATCTAGAGTGATCCTTACTATTACACAACATACAATAGGCTCGATACATGCAAAAAACACAAACAAGGTCTAAACTTGGCCAGGGTTGATAGAATTGGTTCTGAGTCCAGGCGTATAATAGGAAGCAGTAGACGATTCTTTTAGTTGTTCAAGACAAAGGATAGTGCATTACACATATCCTAATTAAGACCAACTTGTCGGTCTCCTGTAGTGGCCCAAGGAAGGGTTGGGGTAGGGGGAAGACAAAGAGGTCATTTCCCTCTTTGTTCTTATAAAGACTTACCGGAGAATCATAAAACTTAATATAAAATCTGTTGCTGTCTATTGACAGCTTTGTCTGAAGAATCTCGGCAATGGTTGAACTGAGTTTTCCATTCACACCAGGTCCAAGACCCCCAATGGAAATTAATTCACCGTACGCAGCAGGAGCTTCAGTGCCAGCAAATGCAATAGGAACTCCTCCATTCAACAAGATCATCACATACTGCCGAAAAGAACAAGTAGAGATAAGTTAGCTTAGTTTTAGCTTAGCTTTAGCAATTTTCTGTTTCATCATCTTCATTTGCTTGGGTTCACTGGTTTAGAATGGAGTTCCAAAATTCAGAATGTAACAGAAACACAGAGAATTGGTAAACCCAAGTAAAAGTTCTTTGTTTTCTTTTTCTTTTTACCCCATTTCTAAACATGTTCCCATTTAAGCACCTAAGGGTGTGGCCTTGTGGACAATGCAGCGAAAGAGAGCAAAACAATAAGGTATCAGTTCAAATTCTAGCGGAGGCAAAACACACCGGGTGATTTCTTCCCATCTACTTAGCCTTGATAGTAGTTACTCGGTAGTTGTACTGGTGGGAGGTAGCAAATACCTATGAAATAATCAAGTTGTGCACAAGCTGACCTAAACACCAGTTTTATTTATTTTTTCCAACTTAACCTCCACATGACTCAAAAACCTCTGTTAATTTCACATGACCCCAATTCTGGACCTACTACTAAACCAGTCTCATTTCAATCTCACTTAACTTCGCGACTCGAATTCCTAATATACCCAGTAGAAGTGAAGATGACTTATAATTACCAGCAAAGCAATGCCCGTCTTTAGAGTAAACGAAGTTGATAAACTTTTTGTCAGGGGAATTTCATCAAGCAAGTAACAGTCAATGTAAAATATGAAAACATAACACTAACACTAATGGAAAAAATTGAGGGACTTAACTGACTCGGGTTTGCCAATGATTTTGGCAACAGCTTTAGTAGCATCTTTGAGAATATCAGAAGCTACCACTGCATCTACTGGTACATTTGTAAACAGATTCAGAGTCGGCATTCTTTTTTTGTCACCTTTTCTGAATTTCTTGTAAAGGTTCTTGTGGGGGTGTGTTGGGAAATGGGTGGTTTGTAATTAAGATTCAGTTAATAGATATTGTTGAAGATGAAAATAGGAGAGCTTCTCTCTTGTTTTTGTATTTTATCCCGTTGGGATCGTGACTCTTCCTTTTTTTTCTTGTTTTCATTTCTCAGTTTAAAAAAGAAGATTGAGTTGCTCCAGCGGTGATCACCCTCAACTTGTTGTGAGTTTAAGTCTCCCAAGAGCAAGGTGAAGAGTTTTTGGAGGGAGAGGTTGTGAGTTTGAGTCTCCCCAAGAGCAATGTGGGGAGTTCTTGGAGGGAGAGAGCTGAGAGTCTATCGAAAACAATTTCTCCATCCAAGAATAGAGGTAAGATTTGCGTACACACTACACACTACCTTTCACAGACCTCACCAGTGAAATTATACTGGATTGTTGTTATTTTTTAAATTTAAGGTTTCATGCAAGGTGTAAAAGATATTTAAATTAGAGTATAGTTCTATGTACTGGCACTCTAAAAAAGATTCACCATTACATGTAATTTTTAACACATACATTAATAGGTAATCTTAAAAATAAGGGAAGCAATCCTCTATAAAAAGTCAAGAAACACTGAAAGTGTAATATACTATTATTAGGGGCGTACAGAAGAAACCGACAAACAACACCAAATCAATAATTCGAGTTAAATCAGAAGAAAAAAAAATCGATTATGACTTAGTTTGATTTGGTTTGGTGTTGGAAAACAAATCCGACCATAATTGGATTGATTTGGTTTTAACTAAAAAAAAAAGTCAAATTGAAACTAAACCAACCCGACATTACATGTATACAAGTTTTAAAATATTTTATGCATACAATTTTTTATTGTAATGTAATCTTATAAATATTTTTTAAATTTTTTCATAGTTCTATCTTGTAACGTATAATTCCAAGCTTGCACTTCAAATTTTTGAATACTCAAATATGTTTTATAGCCCATAAGTGTTAGTAACTCAAATAAAGCCCAAAGCAAAATCAAATCAATAATAATGCTAACAAAAGAAATTTTATTTAATACTATGAATGATAATAGTGTTGGATATCTATTTTTAGTTTTGCATTGCTTTAGACAGTGAAAATGCATAACTTTTTTCTTAATTGTTTAGTCATATAATTAATATTTAGTACTTATTAGTCGTACCTATTTTAGCATGACTAAGAACTTTTAGATTATGTTCATTTTCATTCTGCCTTATTAATTAGCAACATTTATTTTATGCGACTTTATTATCTTTATTTTTGAATATTTTAGTATAATATCATCATCTCATATTGTTTTGTATTATTTTCTTGAGTAATTGATGTTCGGCCAAAAATGCATATATTTAACCATTGTTGCCTCATATTCTAGTACTTTTAATCATCTTTTGAGTATTAATTATATTACTCTGTGCTTAATACTATATCTTAACTGTGTAGGAATAAAGCGGTGTGAAAATGAAGAGATCTGGAGCAGAATTGGATAAAATATGAGAAACAAAAGAAAAAAAATTAAAAGAATAAAAAAAGGGGACACCCTGTGGGTTTTGTCCCCCCAAGTGGAAGACAAGAAAAAGGATATATAATTCAATTGCATTTACAATGCAATTGATGAAAGTAATACAACGAAGGAACTGAACGTGAAAACGTACTGGATTCGGCGCTAAGGCCAGCGCCTCGCGCTATTCTGGACCCTGCGTGTGCGAGTTTTCCTATTTCGTCCGGGACAATGTTATTTCAGCCCTACACAGCCTCAACTCGTATAAAACGGGTTCTAAACCTAATTTGGAGGAGATCGAATATACTTTGAAGGAGAATTCACGTGGAGGAATACACACCACGCTTGGAGGAGGCTTCGAACTAGTTTTTCTTCTCTTCTCTTCCTTTAATTCATAGTTTATTTGTTCTAGAGTTGTGGGGTGCTACATGAACGTTGTAGTTTGAAGCTTGAATTGTTCTTATTATTTTATCATATTGGTTTATTTATTCAATCTTGCGCTTAATTATTTGATTGCTTGATCACCAATTTAATACTATCTACGAATCTTGGGTTTTACTCGGCTGAGGGAATTCTAGATTGCATATAAAATTGAGTAGAGCGAGATCTTGAACTCGAGCATTGGGAACGGATTTGCGGTTAGGATAGGAATATACCTAATCGCCTTGCTTGGTTACTATACAGGAATTATTAATATGTTCTTGTTAATTCTAATTCCATAGGAATATAGGCGTTAGGTTAGCTTGAATAGACGAGTAGTACTTCGGAAGAAGGCTACGAGTAATATTAACCATTTCAATCAATAAATTAGATAAATTAATTAGACAATTTAAGTGGACAACTCAACGGGATTGTTAGCCAACCCATAGCTCTAGAATATCGTCGCTCATTGAATTCATCTCTAATATTCGGCAACTTGTTTCTTTTAATTTTTTAGTTTGCTACTCTAGATTAGTTGTAGTTAATAATCTTAAGAAATCTCTTGAATAGATTAATTATCTTAGTTTAGTTTAGTTGATTGTTAATCACAAGTCCCTGTGGGTACGATATCTGGACTTACAATCCTATATTACTTGTTGACCACGTATACTTGCGTGTGCATTTGGGAGCAACAAGTTTTTGGTGCCGTTGCCGGGGACTTAGAAATCAACTATTTTACTAGATTGGATTTTTACTTTTTATCTATTTTAGTTTTTAATTTTAGTTTAGTATAGTTAGTATTTTTTTTTTACATGGCATCTGTGAAAGAAAAGTGGTGGGATAGTAAGTATTCTTATTTTTGTGATCCTTGTCCATATTGTAAAGGACACCACTTATGGCAATATTGTAAAAATATTTTCAGGACCGAGTTGTGTGCACCATCTCAATCCTGTACTATTTGTGGTGGTAATTGGAATAATTATCCTAAGTGTTGGTATCCTATTCCAATCCCTTCTAATGTTGATTCTAATAATTCTTGTGAGCTTGACAGGAGTAACGAATTGGATAATGTGGAACACGATGTTCGCATTCTTGATATGCACAGGAAATTATTAGAGGAATATGGAGGTTTCCGTGAGAAAATTACAAATGGGATACAACACTTTATAGAAGGAAGAGTTGAACTGGGACAAGAGATCGACCAATTTGGTAGTTCTATTTGCGACTTGGAGGCTCAGTTGAGTGCAAAGGTTGATACGTGTAACGCCCAACAATTTAATGATGAGTTGTGTGAAGTTGAAAAAGATCTTCTAGGCCAAATTGAGGAGCTAAAACGAGAATACCAATCATTAGACCATGCTTTTGTTGATGATGTCGAGGTTGAGGTAGTATATATTATTGAGGATGTCAAAAATAATGCAGTTTTGGAGTTGGGGCGTGTTGGTCCTCATTCTAAATATTTTTTTACATTATGTTTGGATGGAGATATGGAGATCGAGCCTTTGCAGAGATGTATAGATGAAGAACAAGACCCTTACATTCTAAAATTTGCAACACCAAAAAGGCAAAACCACATTCCTCACTTAAGGGCCAAGAAATGCAAGATACGATATCTATTGCTTGGTTCCTTTATTTTCACACCACCTCCCCATGAACGTGACAGAAAAATTGATGCAGAATTGGGGGCGCAATTCATATCCTCAAAGTGGAAGGCAAAATGGTGAAAGTGATGGCGTCGTGCCGCAACGTTAAATCAAGCGCTTGTTGGGAGGCAACCCAATTCTATTTTTTTTATTTTTCTTTTTGTTTATTTTTTTAAATTGTGTTTTTCTTTTTGTAGTATTGTTTTTGTGTTTTATAGAAGTAGGAGCATGGAGTCAAAGGCAATAGGCGAGTGAAAAAGTGAGCAGGTGGTTGAAACTAAGTGTGAGGTACTCGCACGAGGGATCATACCTGGGAGAAGTATGAGTATCCCGTGAGCTGCTAATACTTCGGCCTTTGGCCTACTAGGGAGTCTCTTTTACCTTCTTGTTATTTATAGTGTGCATTGAGGACATTGCATAATTTTAAGTGTTGGGTGAGGAGATTGTCTGGGAGATTTTTTGTGCTATCTTAGCTTAGTTGTAGTACTCGTTCTTAGTGTAGTAGTTTTTGTTTAAAAAAAAAAGAAAAAAACGAAAATAAATAAAAAATCAGAATTTTTGGACTTTTTCCGACGATGGATTTTGTGGACAGCTTTCTTGAGGGATTAAGGTCCAATAAAAAAAAATCAAAAATATTTTATTTTTGTTTCTAGTTAGTTTTATTTAGGTAATAATCCCCCTTGATTTTTCTTTTTGCATCGGTTCTTTTGCAGGGGATGTAACTTGAACCGAGTAAACTTTTTTTATTTTTAGGATTAGATTTTTTTTAGGAGAAGAAAAACTTTTTTGACTTGTTTGATATTAGCACAGTTAGGCCTGAGCTTGAGTAATACTTTCCTCTGAGTGCTTGAGTAATGAATAAAATAGTAGACTTTCTGACACCTAAGCTCAGGGTTGTGACTCTCTATATAGCTTATTCTTATTTTGTTGTTCGCAATGACCATGTCTGTCTTAGAGTAGAATTGATCCATCTTGATTGATACTTGTGCCATGTGTGATAAGGATTTCTTACATATATTCTATGTTTTGCATCTTAGTCTAGAACTTGCCCTGCATGTTATTGAAGCGAAATAAAAGAGTTACTCTATTTAGAAGATGATAATAGGCTTTCTTTGATATGTCTTGTGAATTTTAGCCTTTTCACATATTGTACCACTATTTAGCCCCTTGAGCCTGTAGCCTTTTGTTTGGAAGCCGTATTTTTGCCTTTATCCTTTTGTTGAATCCCTAATTTTTACACCCTGCTTCCTCGAGCATTATTGTTTAGATTGTGATATTAATTGATAAATTTGAAGAAAGGGATGATTAAGTGTAAAATGGTGACCAACAATAGCTGAAAAATGATGAAAGGGCCCTCGTGAAAATAATGTGAAAAGAAAAAACAAAGAATGAAAAAAATTTGCTTTAAAAAAAATGAAACGTTCTTGATACGAGGGAAATACTTGTGAACAATTGATGAAGAGAAGGCTGAAAAATAAAATTAAGATCTGAAAATAATTAGTGATGAAGTCTAAAAGTGCAAAGTGCTTAGGGAAGTGTAA